TGCTGTGACACTGTAATTCAACGGGTAGATTCCAACCACCTTTTTTACCAATTGTGAACGGCCTACATCTTTCAAATATTCATACTATGTTTGTGTTGTCGTGTTTTCCTGGCTATAGTAACAAAGTCCACAATTTATGCCATCATCAAAGTGCTTGAAGAACAAGAGGAAAAAGACTTTTCTTTAGCGCGAGCGCGCCCTCAATGCGCTATGGCTCTCTATGCTATATCAGTAGTTTTGCTTGCGTTAAGCGAAGGTACGATACACCGTACAATGACAGCATTCGAGTGCACACAACAAAATATGTCAGTCTGGCCCCCTGAAGTGCACCGCATTTAAAACGCAGAACATACAAAAAGCTGGAAAGGCAGGGCGTATATGCGGCAATGGTGCGCAAAGCCAACGCTGTCAAATGTCGAATAGTAAGCCAAATTTACCATCACTGTTGACAAATGCGCATTTTGGGTAGGCCGCACAGACTCCCTACAAAGTAACGCTTCCATCGTCCTACGAAGAAAGACATGAAAAAAAAAAAGCTAAGCGAGCATACGCTCCCGGCCTAAAGTACTTTTCAAGCGCTATCGTTTCCCCCTGGGCATTCTCTTACGTTTTGCTCATGGGATCATGGCTGAACTCGGGGGGTACTTGCGAGCACTACGAAATTATGTAGACGTGTAATCGAACCAAGCAGAACCATCGGGCTCGCCTATTTCTTCCATATAAGCTCTCTTTTAGCTTAGCATATCCTCACTGTCGCCTTTGGCCACGCTTCGTGGTAATAATACGCCCTAAGGGTTTCTGACCCGCTTTCAATAAATTAGCGCACTGTGCACCGCTTGAGTGCTTCTTAGTACCAGATAGCGTAGGTGACACCACCAGACACCAATGTTCTCGACACGCTCGGTTACTGGGAGAGAATTTTTCAGCACTCCCGAAATGGACGTAATCCTGTCGATGGCAAAAAAAAATAAAAGACGAGCATTTCTTATTAATGCGGGCATCTGGTCGATGCAGCCGGCCGCATAAAAATACACTTATAGGAGTCGCCAGTCGGCAAACTCGGTGAAATGAAGCGTACGCGACGAACCGTGGCTTATTGGCATGAAAGCGTCAGAGCTCTTACGACTTCGATAAGAAGTTGCCCAAGGCGACAAAATACAGAAAAAGGAGGGGGCAACCTATCCTTGCAGCGGCAACATCGTCTTAAGTTCGGCTTCTCTCCATAGCAGCTTCTCTTTGCGCGGTCACGAGCTAGGCGACATACGTGATCTTTTATTTCATATTCAGTGGAATGTATATAATGGATGTGAAGTACAAGGCTGCGCGCGTACAAACGACGCGCATGACGGGCTGGTGGGACTGCGAGCCACTGTGAAAGTCAAAAATTAACAAAAAAGAAGAGCAAGGAACTTAAAGGAAGCATTTGTTTAATATTCAGTATTTTTCGTCGGCGCCGCTTCGAATTTCGACACTCCGCGACTGCACGAGCACGCAGCCAAGCTGCATGGCACTTCGGCCTTATTTTCGATTTACACTGGAGATGAAAGGGTAGGTCAGCCACGTTGACAGGGCACGGTCTACACTTTCTCTCTTGTACTTGGAAAGTATTGCACAAACTCACAGTCGCACTCTTTAGAGTAGATAACACGGGGTAATGAATTCGCGACACATAGATGTGTGAACTAACAAAGCTGCAGTGGAGATTTAGAAATTCGCACAGTAGTAGGCCTACACATGAAATACTTAGTAGAGTGATTAGTATGTAAAAGTAGCAACAGAAGGCTTTCCAGGAAAGACGAAAATAAAGGACTAGCGTACTGAACTAGCTTAGAGAGAGAGAAGACAAAAGACACGGAGATTAACACACACGATGGTAGCATAACCATTTTAATTAGTGTCCATGGCGATCGATTGGGTGACTCGGATTCACGCACTGTCTTGTGCCCGTTTCTCAATAATGTTGTACCTGATTTGTAGGGGTAGCTGCTGTTGCATTTCACTGCCTTTGTTGAGGTCAGCAGTTTTTATCCGCATCCACATGAAAGTTATGCCAGTAGAACAAGTGTCATGACTACATATTTATTCCATAAATCTGTGCGCACTGATTCTTGCTGGAGCATTATGTATATTCTATCTGACTGTTTCTTTATAAGATAATATCTGGCAAGACGTCGTCACCGGCTGGGGATACATAATGTACTAGTGTTGGAAATGAGTGCCATAAGATAACGCAATTTTGTTCTACACTTGTGGGGCTTTATTGCTGTAAAGATTGGCCTTCTGGTCCGCGATTTTGTCACCGACAAGTCCCGACAAAAGCTAAGAAAACTAAAGTGATTTTGAGTCATCCGATTGCGCCCACACACAAAGCCTGTGGCCTCTGTATGGAGCACGCGTTAATCTAATTCGTGCCAGCGCTATGTCTTCGCACAAACGTCACCATGGTAACAGCGGAGGTCATGCCCGCCAACGCTCATCCTCCTTATCCAAATTTACTGCTGAACGGGTTCCGGTTTCAACTGATTTTGCTCGGCTCGACATTGACTAAAGCACCCTTCCGTAAGCGTGGAGTTTGTTTCGAGCTCGAAGCGGCCCACCATTCTTTCACTTTTTTTTTTCGTCGATCTTTTTCTAATAGAAGTGGGAAAATGCTTATTGTTTCATTTATTCAACCAGACGCTGTCCTTTTAGTACCGACTTCGTCAGAGCGTTGCCGAGACAAGCGAGTAAAAAGAGTGCTTCTTCTTTCTTAATGTAGAACATAATCTAATCTCGACTGATTCATGGTGTGACAATATCATTCATGTTCTTACTTTAGCTGCAACATCTTTCCCTTCTATCCAGCTTACCGCTTTCATCTGAGCCGGACTCTATACGCCTAGGCCGGTACCTATTATTGGATCAGAAACGTCGTTCGTCCGCCAATGTCCTTCTTCAAAGTTTTTTGTTTATTGGCGCTTTTTTTTCTTACTGTCTTGTCTCGAAACACTCCCGTGCTTTCTCGCGACTCTCCGCGCAGCTACGCTGTGTCTCACTAGAATGGTTCAGCTCTGTCGTTTCCACTTGTGGAATCCGGTCTTCGAGTGCCCAATTAGTATGCCACAGTGGCTTATCACAAGAACCGCCGCAGCTTACACCACAGAAAGTACATGCTGTTCTCCTTCCGAGGTGTGAGAGAAAAGAGAGAAATGTTAATTGAGGCAGAAAAGCTGAGGGGTTGGCCTTGATTCCATTTTCTGGCCTGTTACTCAACGTTATGAAAGCGGAGGAGGGGGAGGAGAGAGAAGGTGTTGATGATGAGGAGGAAAGTGTTGATGAAGCCATGCCCCGGATATATCTATAGTCTCTTGTCAAGTTCTGTATGTCTTAAAAACTTGATCCGTGCTTTCATATTATCGCGCTAATTACGGGGAGTCAGACCGTTTTCGGGAACTTGCTGCTTGGTATATTTAATCAAGACGGCCGCCATCCTATTTTTTTTTTTTGCGCGATATATCGTTTGCAGACGCACAAGATATTGTGGCAACTATATTTACAACTTATTTCCAGTAGGAAATGGACCAGCAGCCAAGATGGTGTCTCTTGTTTTTCCCAAACAGCAGCACGTCGTCGTCCTTCACTTCACATACCACACGATAGTCATAGCTGCTACCCCGCATTAATATGTTCCCTTGTCTCAGGGGCACCACACGCCTCACATTTGGGACTGTCTGCACGGCCGACGAGTGAAGGTCACAGCTATTCGTAACAAGTGCAGTAAGCTTGAACTACACCTTTTCATGGTTGACGATAATCTAATATGCATGTCCGGCTCAAGTTCATAAAGTGATGTGCAAAAGCGGTGCGTGGACTATAAGCGTGCGAGGGAAAATGCGATAAATCGGCAGCATCAGCCACCGCGAAAGAGACCAGTCTGAGAGTGCGCTGTATGTAGGGGCTGTATATTCAGTATTTAGATTTTGAGTATATGAGGTTTGTAATGTTTCGACTACGAGGTGTTAGTATCTGAATGATCCAGCACTCGATAATCGTTATGCGAAACAAAAGCAAATGAAAATTACAATATTTATTATAGTAGCATAGCTTTTCTCTGTAGATGACTTACGTATACTATAAAGAAGCAGAAGGGCATCAGTGATGCACGCTGCTGCATGATCTCACTGACACAGCCAATGCGATATACTTGCAACTGGAATCACTTTTTTTTTTCATCTTAGTTCGGTTCCATGTTCGTATTCTCCCTAGTGCCAAAGCCCGCTCCATCTGCACTTCCAGAAGAACTGCAAGCTTTACCGTCCAGACAGGGCCCATATAGGATGCACGCTCAACGGTGTTTTCTCCTTTCTTTTCCCTTTATTTCATCCCCTCGTACAATTTTCCAACGTGCGCGTCGTAGTGCCTGTCTCCGCTGGCTCGCCAAAGTGAACCGACTCGGTGCCCCGTATTCCAACCTCCTGCACAACCGAACGACAGAGATCAGCGTTTTTTCGGTCCTTCCCCGTGTTTGCGCTCGCCCGTCTATTATTCAGCGAGGAACGCCTTTCGAGTCTTGCTCTTATCCCGCCCTTTTCTCTCTTCTTCTTTGGCTGCTTCGTTAACGAAGGAAGCAACAAGCGCGCCGATCTACCTAGCCGAGAACCCCGCCTGGCCCACATTTCCCTACATCTTCGCTGCTGCTTCGACATGCGGTTTCGCACGCAAACACCGCAGAAGCCGCCGCAATCTTCTCGGGGAGCGTTGTTGAAATTAGGCATTACTGGCTGCTGCCGAAGCGTCGGATCGCCTTGCGGGCGTCATCGCTTTTGGGCGTTTGTATTTTGGATTTTAGTCGACGAGCGTGCACCGCCCCTCCTCGGAGCGAGGGTTGCCGATGATGGAGGCTTTTGAGGGAGCGTTTTATAAGCGCTGAGACGGCGGGAAAAGACGACCGCTGCTGTGCGCCGCGCCGTCCGTTCTGCGACGCTCACGGTATGAATAAGTCTGCTGGCGGAATCGCAAATATGGGCGCCCAGGACATGCGCGTCACAGAACGACAGCCCGCCCTCGGCATGTTTGTGAGTTTGTGCTCGTGCTGCCTTGTGCGCTAGCGAGCGCGTATGTGAATGCGCGTCATCATGCGAGATCGAACTTATTCTTCTTGTTATAGATTGATTTGTGGGGTGTAACGTCCCCAAACCACCGTGTGATTATGAGAGACGCCGTGGTGGAGGGCTCCGGAAATTTCGACCACATGGGGTTCGTTAACGTGCACCCAAATCTGAGCACATACGCTTAACAGCATGTCCGCCTCCATCGAAAATGCAGCCGTCGCAGTCGAAATTGAAACCCGCGACCTGCGGGTCAGCAGTCGATACTTTAGCCACCAGACCACCACGGTGGGACTATTCTTTTTGTGGCTAAGAGTCTTGAGCACATGTATCTCATCATATGGCGCAGCGTCAGCAGATCTCGGGGAATCATTGTAGTGTCTTAGAGGCAGATGAACACCAAAGGCAAAGAGGGAAGAGCCAAATCCTCTGAGTTGGCTCTTCGCGCCCGGAGAGCGCATATCTCTACCAGCTATAGGCCACGTTTCAGTTCCTGTTGTGATTTCGTCTGTACTTTACAGCAGCTATATGACATGAACGGAACCAAATTATTATGGAGTACCTCAAGTTATAAGTTATTATGGAGTACCTCAGGGGAGGTAGCCAGTACATTAAGTATGGTTGACGTTCGTCTAAAAAGTAGCATTACATTGTACCGTTACGTTAACTTACATCGTAATATTTTCAGCAATGATATTTTCCTTTTCTTTTCAAGTCTTTGCTTCACCTACGGAACGATTGATGTATTGCACAATATATGGCGGATGCTCATTTAAAACCTTCGTCGTCTTCATCAAACTCACGGTCTGAACCAATAATTTATTTGTCCTAACACGTCCTCAAATTGATCTGGTTTCATCCACTCGTTTTTCACAAGAAATGTCTTCGAGGCATGGTTGAGTTATCAGCCTGCTGCATCATATATTAAACCATATATTCAGTATCAAGAATATGATGCCTCTGGTGGCGGTGGCGACTGATGTTGCTCTACAGCTGTCGTTCGCGAAACAAACCTAACATGTCCGCTAAATTGTGGCTGAATTTCTGGCTTAATGAACGAAAATACGACGGCTATTTTCTGTTTACGAGAACAGGCAGAAATAGCTACACTGTAACACAGCTGTAAAAAACAGCGCAGTCCAAGCGGCCATACAACATGGCAGCACGAAACAAGATTAAATTTAGGACAGCATGGCTATCATAACCTGTGACGCTCCATTAGTCAACGCGTGCACGCGAGTGGGTTAGAATGATTCACGTACCGGTTGTGCTCTAGGGCTAATGGGAGGGTCTTAGAAGAAGACGGTGACTGCTTGGACTGCGATATTGAGTCGATCATGACGATCCAAGCGTCTGAGGCGGATCACTTCATGACCTCCGCTTCGGCCTCTTGAGACCGGCGATACGTAGTTTGTTTGTTGCAACCTGGAAGTGCAGTAAATGCCCACTACTCAGTCTCAAGAAGGGCTGTTTCATGTAAGAGCTCACTAGGCCGGATAAGTCGGATTAACAGCACTTAGGAGATCAAGAGACGCAGCGGTATACCGAGGTTGTAGCATAGCACACAACATTCTAAGTCGAGGCAAGGGATCAACAAAGTACATTCTGATGAGCGCTAGCACACTGTATCACTTGAACTTGAGGACGATGCATTGTAAGGCGCGCCTAATATTCATGAGGAGTGCCGCTCAGTTTTTAACCGTGAGTCACAGAAGTGTCATAACAAGATAGGGATAGAGGATTTTTAACTAGTTAGGGGTGCGGTAAAAGCCATTTGGTGGTACGGCGTAGTACATTACACGCATGACACTCACGTAAGTACATGTTATATCACATCCGGTTTTCATGTAGGAGGATACGTCGTGCAGGCCGCCTAGTTATTATGCAATCGGCTGCTTGAGAAACTTCTATGCTACATCCATCAGTCCGCCTAGTTTGCCCTAATCAACGAGAAGTATATATGAGGTATAAGCAGATATATCAACCTCAACTTAGCACCCGATTGTTCAAAGATTCATATCGCTATACATAGAAGCAGAGGTAAATGCACACTGTTGCTTCAAGTGCGAACTCGTTCTGTGTCCTTACGACGAAACTTTGCTAATTTCAGAGCTATCAGATGACTGGACGTCATGCATCGTCATTTACAACATATGTGGTGTTCGTGTAAGCTTTGGATGCGTGATAGTGATATGTGGTGGAACTTCAATTTGCATTTTTTTCGTGTTAATGTGGGAACTAACACACATGAACTCTATGTGGCTCCATGTTTACGTATATTTCTGTAATACGAAGTATTTAGTCTGTCCGTCCGTCTGTCCGTCCATGCGTCAGCCTGTCCATTAGTCTGTACCCGTATACCGAATACCTTGAGACGCAGTATACACCCCATGCGATTGGCAATATACATCTATCCAGGAACAGCGAGAGCAGACATTGGTCGTTTGAATGCGAGGGCGTTAAAGGCCAACTACGGCGATTTTTCGAGGTCAATGGATCGCCATGAAATTCGCTGGGTACGTTCCTTTGCACGTTTCCGTCATTTATGCAAAATTACAGGCTTGATAGATGCGCTGATTGTTTGCAAATGAATTTTAAAGATTACCTCGAAAAGCTCACCTTGCTTGCCAGAAATATTAGCAACACTGTCTGCATCACGTCATGTTTGGCATATCAACGGAAGTGACCCAGCCGATGGCATCGCTACTTTGGCCGCTACAGCGTTTATTGTGCTGGCCACAAGGTAACTGCGGCGGTGTTTGGGACGGGTATAGCACGGGAAAGCTTTCTTCGTTCCTCTGTGGTGTTTGGCCAGCACTTAGCTAGTCTGGCTTTCACAGTTTTTATACTCCACGCCGGCAGGGAACAGTATACGGCACCCGGTTCTAGTACGTCACACGCAGACGGAACGCTCGGTTGGGTTTCGGTATTGCATCTTTTTGCTTATTAAAATTTACTTTTTGAGTATTTTAGCTAACGAGCTCGTGACGAGAGTGCCTCAGCAACATAGAAACACCATTTACCTTGACATGGTCGATAAATCGCCAGAGTTGGCCTTTAAGAAAAGCAGACATCAGCAGTGTTGACCCGACCAATGTAAATAATAAAACTCGACATTCCATAGACATTCCATTTGTATACCTATGATTCAGCAAGCTCCTATTCAAGTGCTGCTCGACCCCGACGGAACACGCTAAGACAAAGTGGCGTATGATATTCACGTCATCGCACCCTAATGCGCACTTAGTTTCTACAATACTGACACATGTGCTCAAACGTGAGTCCCGACTGATATGTCAGAGCATAGGCTTACCCTTGAAACGTCAGGTATGGTCAACGTTCCGGATAAGTCTACGATGCGCACACAACTACTACACTTAAAAAAAGTTGATCCTCCTACAACTACTTTGCTCAAAGACGAAAAAATACAGCAATGACAACCACTGGTCAGCTGCTTCAAGTGAAACTGTCCCCAAAAGGTGTGGGATTGGTCAATTTCTTCTTTTCATTGTGGCGAGTTTCACATATCATATCACTGGCAAATGCAGCCAACTTTGCAATCATTTGTTTGGCTTTGTTGATGTCAGGTTATACAAGGGAGCCGAGGCCTTTTTCGGACACTGCAGCCTTTAGACGCGGCTTTCCCCTTTGTGTGAAAGGAAAATCTCCCCTTCACTTGAGTGAAAATGATTAGCCGGCAATGCACAAAAGCACTGACGTCTGCTAAACACTACATAATAAAAAATGGAGCCAGAAACTTTCATATTGCAAGATTGATATGTCTGCATCTGTATTATTTTCCAATGCCTGTCCACGACAAGTGAAGATGTCAAGATAAAGTCCCATTGAACAGTGCAATAGTGAGATGCCCGACATTAGCACTCGTGCTTGTCGTATTTTTCTCGGTTTCTTGTTTGGCCATGTTTAGAACAGCTGCTTCTCGAGCAACTAATCAATAATCAGCTAAATTAGCCAAGTGCTGTTCCACATGAGACTGGCACCGTTCGGTCAAGTCATGGTCGAATATCATCTGGTTGCTGCCGTGACGAGAGTGCTTACGCTAAGATCACATATACTACTTCCTAGCAGAAAACCTACTTATTCTGATGACAATAATTACACATAAAAATCTAAAGATTACTTTGATTTCGTAACCCCAATGTAGCAGCGGTAAAGAATGGCGGCAATGAACGATGCTAGGTAGAAATAAAAAAGGCAAGCTTAGAGGGCATTTTTCGGCGCCCATATTTCCTCGGGATGAGCATCTTTCACGAGTCTACCACAGCATTTCTTCATTAGATTTCGTCAGCATTATTGCTTTATGTAGGCAGTTGCAGTGAAGCCAGTAGCGACGAGAGAAAATTTTATATTCCAGCTTGTTCCGGTAGACTAAAAAGCAAGTAAAAGTAGAGACGCACAGTAACAACGCATTTCCCGCAGACGAAACAAGGGTTATACAGAGGGAGATAGTGTGAGCGCAATTTGCTTGATTTACTGAGCATGGGTTCTTTTATTCATAGAGCGAGAGGCTAATGGAACTGGCATTACTTGTTCTGCTAAGCTCATTGCGTTGTTTCTTTTTCTTTTTTTCACGGGTGCCCTAATGGGCATAAATTTACCCCGCCTCTGTTGTAGCCCATCGTGCAAGCAATTTGTGGGGGCCTCAAGTCTCGTGGTGAAGTGCAGCAACACATCGCGCACGTACGAGCAATGAATATAGGACACTCATAGCAGCAAAAAAAAACAATTACATAATAATGTGTGTATGCAATGACCAACAGCGCAGCGTTAGGAAGCACTAGCTAACGTGAACGCCTTTGGAAAGACACGGCACTTTTATCTCGCGAGGAGTGGCGTGTTATGGGGTACACAAATGATCCAGTGCTAAGCGAAATTCGTAGTTTTGAGGGAAGAAAAAACAAGAAACTAACAGCACTGGCGTCGTTATGAATGTCATTGTCAAGTCT